GAAGATGCAGGCAGTCCCCTGGTATCACCTGTATTATCAAAGAAGTTTGAGAAATGCTGTCTCTTGTGGGTGAGAAGGAAAGCCATGCTTGTCTTGGGGTGGGAAAGTGGGCCTCCTGGAGACACTTAGGAGAGTTGCAGGGCAACTTTAGCTGCCCACAGGAAGTTTGCTATGGGAAAATAAAAGTGGAACCAGTCCTCTCTACTGCACAGTTTCCTCCAGCAATTCAGCGACTCAGGTCAGGAAGGCTGAAGACAGGATTGGTCGTGGAGGATTTCCATGGTCAAAAATACAATGGAGGAAGAAGGACTGAAGATATTTGCAGGAGAGAAGTACAACGATAGAAAGTTAACACTGAGGTTCAGAAGAGTTGTTTAACTTATTCAAAATCACACAGCCAGTAAGAGGTTGGGAACTAGATTAGGAAAAGTGATGCAGGCTTGGTGTCAAGGTCCAGGCTGGAAAGCCATGGCACACTAAAACTGCATAATTTGAGGAGAGTGTAATAAAAGATCTACTTGTAAAGGTACGGGACGGGGTGGGAGAAGAGAACACAAGGCATTGACAGGGGAGCTGTCTTTAGCACTCTAAGCCTGACGAGGTGAGGGGAACAATCTTTCCAGAAGCTGAAGTCAGCATGGATGGGTGAGGAGGAGGTCCAGGCAAGAGCTGTGATATCCAGGGAAGCGAAGCTGCCAGCCAAGAGGGAGCCAGGGGCAGCATTACCTCTCCCTCTGTCTTCCCAACATCCCCTGTCCAGCACATTAGCCAGAGGGCCCCTCGCAGTCTGAAGCAGGTGTAACGTGGTGAGGGATCTGAAAGCCATTCACAACCTTGACTCTCATGACAAAAGTCACCGAACAAATCTGGGCATCCAATCCTCTCATTAGCAATAGAAAAGCAACCAGCCCCCTTCTGTGATTTGCAGAGGGCTCCTCAGGAGCACTGCATCCTGACGGAGCGCTGCAGAGAGCCCCAGAGCGGGCAGTGCGTCCAACTGAGGCGAGCCATTCTCTTTGCCTTAGGCGAAATTGAGGCTCGGCGCGGGAAAGCGGTTCTTAAACCTCAGGGTGGAGCCCGCCTGCCCCTCGGACGGAATTTCTAGTCCCCGCTGTCTGCTAGAGCAGAGGCAGCCGCGGCCTTGGGCGAAGCCCCACTTCAGGTGCGTGGCCCCCGGTGCCCTGAGGAGCAGCACCCTTTACCCCAGGAGAAAAAGGGGGTAGCGTGGCTGCCTACACTTGTGAGAGGTTTGGGCGGCCACAGGGGTTCCGAGCACGCTGGAGGCACCGCTGGAGCCCAGTCGGAGGGGACATGTCCTTCCCTGTGTGCCCGGGAGACCAGCTGGCCGTGGCAGCCCCGTCGCTCCCTCAAGCCCTAGCCTCAGCTCCCCGCAGTCTCCATCCACTCCAGCCAGCGCAGCCGAGCGCGCTCTTGCGGGCGGGATTCCGCGCCGCTGCGGAGGCGGCCGCGCTTCACCAGTCAGCTCGGACGAGGGAGGAGCGAACTTGCAGCTGCGAACACCCCAGGGGCCGCCTCGCCTGCGAGGGCTGGGGGAAGTAGGAGGAGAGTAAGGGTTCCGGCTACAGGAACTGGGGCTGCAGGCCACCGGTTCAGGAGGCCCCCGGAAACGTGTCCTCTGCAGCGCAGCAGGCAGTGGTGAAGGGGTAGGGACCAAGGAAGCTGAGATCCAGCCGGTGGAACTGGTGGGCGGCTCCAGCAGTTGCGGGCGCCTCCCCTCCGGTGCTGAGAAGCAGAGACACGTAGGGCAGAAAATATCGCCGGGATCTTTTGACTTAAGTCCCCTATTTTACAGATGGGAAATTTGAGGGCAGAGTGGACCCAACTGAGGTCACAGAGGATCGTTGGAAGCAGAACTTGGGGGGTAGAGGAAAGAGAGACAGTGCCCTAAGGTGCCCCTGTTCCTTTCTAAAGGAGAGGGGCTGCCTGCCAGATTAAAAGCCCCAGAGGCCCTAGCTGAGCACCTCATTAGGGAAAACCAAACACACTAACCAAAATAAAACACGAATTTTATAGATATGCTGAAATTAAATTATCTCCTTTCTGGATTTCCTGAACATAAAAAAATTCCATAAATTTATCAAAGGCAAGCCGTTCTTCCGGCTTGGACGGCGGTGCTTTGCGATGCCCAGGCTCAGGTGTGGGCACACCTGCACCGCTGAGCAACGTCACAGCAAAGGCTTAAACTGGGTTCGTGGTCAGTTTCTCCACCAGCTCTGTTCAGGGTAGAGCATCGAGTTCAGCATCTGCAGAATGGGACGAAGAGAAAGCATTTGGCAAGGACAGCGCCTGTAGCTGCGAGGCACCTGGGGATTTCCCGGCGCAGCTATCGACGGAAAGCAGAGCGAGAACCAGCCTAAAAGCTAGAGCGCCAGAGCGTCGGGTAGCTGTCCAGGTTCTGCTGGGTCGCCGCCTCGCAGCGAGTCCCGGATGACCCGCCGACCTCCCGCCGCAGGAACCCCGAGCGCTGTGGGTGAACTCCCCCATTGTCCTCGGTGCTTAGGGTTGAAGGCGTGTGAGGTGGACTCTGGCGGCGATGGGGCTCAGGGGCTCTCAGCTCTGCGGAGCAATCCGGGCAATTTCCGATAGAGACTCACGTCTTCGCTCGCACACTCTCCCTTCACCCACCCCCGCCGCCCCCCGGGCAAAACAATCCTAAATATACCCGGCAGTGTGGATTTGCAATCGCACACTTTTTTCTATTTCATGCTGGACTTCACTAATCCTCATGGATAAACATGACTTTTATTAGCATTATCAAAATCGTTTAAAAACAACAAACAAGAAAGCTATTAAGATTGCCGGCCAACCAGGCCTGAAGTTGACCATGGGCACTACAGTTCGCCTGCACACACACCCATCATAAACCACCCCCCCCATCACCACCCCCAGTCCACAAGACTCCATAACGCACGGCCGCCCAAAGATGGAACACAGTAACTTCATTTCCCCCGAAATAACTTGAATGCGCAGACACACCCTTCAGAGACACGAACAGCTCCCCCTCTCTTTTGCAAAATAAAGAATCAAGTTAGTGCTCGGAATTATATTCTTTTGTGTTAAAAGTTTAAACTAAATGAATAGGAAATGAATTAAATTAAAAAATAAGGGGGGAATAAGTCGCTTCCGAAGAATAAGCATGAGCGGGAAGGAAGCTGTAAAGAATGCTCCATGCGAATTTAAATGGCAGAGGAAAATTCTCTACCTAAATTATTTCCCCCTCAACAGTTTTGTAGGAAAACGTTTTGTGCTCAAGGTCGCTGAAAGCACGGTCTGGGGGCACCGGAGGGGGGTCGAATCCTCCAGGGTCAACGCTGCCGCCCTCTGCCTTATTTTCGGGCCCAAGGGGCTGAAGGCGGACGGGCTTTCTCGGTTCACTCCCGGCTGGGGAGCCGGCCACAAGGCAAGGCTCAGGGCGCGTGACACTTGCGGACTTGCACTCAGGAAGGGAGCGGGAGTGCGCGCAGCTGGCCGGGGGAGGTCAGCTTCAGAGCGCGCGGCCAAGGGACCCTGGCTCGGGTCGGTTCCGCCTGCTGGCTTGCGCGGACGGTGAAATATTGCGCGGGTGGCGGCCGTCGGGGAGTCACCTCGTGGGCGACCCTCAGCCCCCGAGGGGCCGCGGTGGGGTGGGAATCGGAAGGAAAGTTCTGTGCCGGAACCGCGCGCAGCCAGGCGTTGGAGGCCCGCTGGCTCCGCAGGCGCCAGGTTGCAGGCTTTGAAAACTTTCTGAACCGCGGTGATAAAGAACTTTAGTTTATCCCAAACCACCCAACTTCAAACGCGGGGCAAGAATTCAGCAGGGTGCGCCGCCTCTTGACTCAACTTTCCGCAGCAACCGGTTATGGTTTCCTGGGAGTTCGGCTCCTCTGTCCCTACCCCAGACGAGCCACTTTGCGGAAAAGAAGAGGCGAGATCAGCTTTGGATGGATTTGGACAATGAAGTAAGTGTAACTGAGTGATCGATCTGCTTCACGTTGACGTTTGATTTCAAAAAATCGGTAGCCAGAAAGTGCAACTGATAATTATAGTAACGGGTTAACAACCAAACTCTTTCCTAAAATGACGGTGAATGTGGCTTTAATAATGATTCAAAGAAAAGGAAAGACAGAAAGAACATTTTCTTAAACCTAACGTCCTCAACTCATATTCATATTCAGAATGACTTTCGCACTCACTTTTCGTCCAGGAAACTTTTCCCCAGCCTCCCTTTCCTTGTTTCTTTCTCCTTTCGCTCCCCTGACCTTTCTCCAGTTATTTGGGAAGCAGGAAAGATTCTTCCTAAGGACAGTTTACACCGATCCCAACTCCCCCGCAGACCGAGAGAAATCAACTCCGGGCATGGAATAAAAAAGAAACACTAAAAAAAAAAAAAAAAGTTGATAATGATTTCCAAACATGCTTTCTCCCAAACTTCCTAAACCGGTTCCTGTCCTGGAAGGGCTCCCCTGCGAGTTTCTGGTGGGCTCGGGGGCTGTACGCATCTGTCTAGACTCTGGGTCTTCCAACTTCCCATCACACGCGCGCGCGCACACTCACACACACACACGCGCGCGCGCACACACATTACAAGTTCTCCCGCACAACCTCTGAATGGGAACTCAGGGCTTGCTATCTGGGCAACCTCAGCCAAAGCTGGCCTCGGGGGAGTGAGTACGGAAATGCGCGCGCGGGTGACCGAGCGCCACACTTGCTGGGGTCGGACCTCTCCCAGCACTGGGTCACTACAGCATCCTTATCGCCATCTGCTCCTGTCACCAGCCGCCGGCTCCTCCCCCCTGAGCCCACCCCTAGAACCTCGCCCAATAAAAACTCAGGACCGCTCTCCACCGCCCCGAACCCTTTCCACACCCCCACGTTCCGGGAGCCGGTTGGTTGCTGAACCCTTAGCTAAGCGCTGGCATTTGCATGATGCTCCCGTTTTCTGGTAGGTGGAGCGACCCGTCACTCCGGAAGGCCGGGCCCGCCCACCCCACCTCGGGCCGCGGCGCTCTTCCTGCGCAGTTCTCCCTCGCAGCCTCCGCGGGGAAGTGCCCAGGCTGCTCTCTCCAGGCTCCGCTCTCCACTGCGCGGAGGCAGTCCCGGCGAGCGGCGGTGCGCCCCGTCTAGCGTGGCCAGGGCGCGGAGCGCAGCCTTCTCCTGGCGCCGCGCAGGCCGCCCCCCCGGAGGAGTCGTCTCTTGGCCCGCAGTTGCCGCCGCCCCGACTTTCCGTTCTAGTTGCAGCTCCTCCCGGGCAACATGTCAAAAGCCGCCTCCTCTACAGCTGCGGCCTCCACCTGGGGAAGAGCAGCCGCGGCGGCGGCCGCGGCCGCCCAGGGCCAATAAACCGAACCATCCAGGCGTCCAGCGGGCTAGGGACCTCCCGGCGCTCCCTGCCGCGGCGGGGCCCGCCATGTGCTGAGACATGCCCCTCGCCGCGCCCGCCCGCCGCGCATGGGGCAGCGCCTGAGCGGCGACCGATCCAGTCTCGATGTCCCGGGTCGGCTCCTGCCGCAGCAGCCGCCGCCCACGCCAGCGGTGAGGAGGAAGCTCGCGCTGCTCTTCGCCATGCTCTGCGTCTGGCTCTACATGTTCCTGTACTCGTGCGCCGGCTCGTGCGCCGCGGCGCCGGGGCTGCTGCTGCTGGGCTCCGGGTCCCGCGCCGCCCACGCGTCGCCGGCCCTGGCCCCCGGCTCGGAGGGGACTCCTCCTAGGCTGCCGTTCCAAGCCGCGCCAGCCGCCCCCTTGGCGGAGGGTAAGGAGGCGGCGGACGGCGCCGCGAGTCTGGAGGAGCAAAGTCCCGAGGCGCCGGACTCCCCCAGCCCCATCTCTAGCTTCTTCAGTGGGTCTGGGAGCAAACAGCTGCCGCAGGCCATCATCATCGGCGTGAAGAAGGGCGGCACGCGGGCGCTGCTCGAGTTCCTGCGCGTGCACCCCGACGTGCGCGCCGTGGGCGCGGAACCCCACTTCTTCGACCGCAGCTACGACAAGGGCCTCGCCTGGTACCGGTGAGTTTCCCCTCCGTAGCCAGGGGCACGGGTCCCCGCCGCCGTCCGGACCGCGGGAGGACGGGGGCTTGGCATGTGCTGAGAAGTGCAGGGGGTGCAGCCCAGGACCGCGGGGCCGGGGAGGGGCGGAGGAGCCGCCGCGCGGAGGTTCCTGGCTAGCGGAGCCCAGGACCCCGCCCCGGCGCTGTGCTAGGTGCGCGCAGCTTCTCTCGCGCCACGGCCCATAGACACGTTTCGAGGAGCTCAGGCGTGAACGTGGACCACGGTGGCACTTGAGTTAATCGAGCAAGTTCTCCATAACGAAGGGGGTCAGCGAGCGGGACTGGGGCGGTGCTCAGGGAAACGCAGAACCCTTTCTCTTAACTGTGGCCACGTCCCCGAGAGTATCAGATTTTCCTTTTGCAGCCCGGGACGTTCTGCGCCTGGTTGGTCGCGGTCTCAGCGCTAGACCAACTCACAGAACAGCTTCTGGTCCCCAGATGGGGATGGGGGGTGGGGGCGCCGTCGTCTCGCCCATGCCGCGGGGAGGCTGCTAAGTTTTGGGGAACAGCCCTCCTTTTCCTGGAGCGGGAGGAGGCTCAGAACGACTTCCCTAGCAATTAGTTTGGGTCCTGGAGTGTGCGCTGGGCGGGTGGCCCGGCGCCTCGGTCTGGCCGGCGGGCGCGCGGCGCGCGGAGCGTGGAGCGGTGCTGGTCTCTGTCGGGCAAAGGCGCGCACTGCAGCCGGCAGGGGCGGCTCGACGCTTTGAAGGCTTCTCTGCGCCCGGGGCGCGGCCCTCCGGTTTCCGCCTTCCAGACCTGGTGCGGGAAGAGCGAGGGCCAGGAACGCCTGTTTCCACCGTCTCTTTGCACTTTGGGGCCCAGAGACCATTGGGCCCGTTGATTGAGAAATGCAGGTTGGGGCTTTCGGAAACTCGGTTCTTGGGTCGGTGTGTGAGTCCCGGTGCAAAGGGTCTACGCCTTCGGGGTCATAATCACGACTTCTGGCCAGGATTTCCCTGGTGGCCTTTGGGGTGAAATGTTGGTTGACCAAACTTGCCGTGAATGGCTGGTGGGCTGGGAGTCCTGACTCTGGCATTGTGGAAACCGGGGCAGGCCACCGTCTCCCCTGCGTTCCCTCCTGTCACCCCACCACCAGCTCCAGAATGACTTCCTCAAGTCCCTCATCCAGGCCTAGTTAGCCTCCAAGGGGCTGAAGACTTAAGAAAACAAAAGCAGCGGAGAGTGGAACCGAATCCCTCTCCCTGCCCCCCTTCCCCCCCACCCCCTTTTGGGACTGGAGAGGATGGAAGGTAAAAGGGGACAGCCCCAGCGGATTGAAACCGCTTGCTTCTCAGCCTCCCTCCCCCCCTCCCCTTTGTCCTTAATGTTTTCATTGTCAGGAGTCGCCCGAGTCTCTAGGTTTAGCCAGCCGCGACAGACACTCTCCCCAAAGTTCCCCATCGCAGACACCGGTTTTTAAGATCGGGGGCTCTGAAGGCTGAGCAGTAGTAGACTCGCCTTCTGGCTCTGGCAGCTGACTCGCTGGGACCTCAGTGCTTCCATCTGTGCAGTGGGGTGGTGTGGGTCTTTGCTGGGCGGAGAGAAAGAACGTGCTGGTGTGGCCAGGTGCCTGGCAGGCACGTGGGGCGTCCCTAATTGTCACCATTGTCATCCGTTGTATTGTTATTACTTCTGCCACCACCCCTCCTCTTCCTGGATGGTTCCGGGGCCCAGATGGCAGGCTCTAACCAGCGCCCTTCTAGGTGCAACTCACCAGAGGCCGGAGGCAGCCGGGATTTTCTGAGATCAGACACACTAGGGGCCCGGCTGGGAGGAACTGGCAGGAAAATAACTGAATCCTTAATGTCGGGCGGTTTTAGAAGCGCCTGGGGCTGGCGGTGGAAATCCCCACAGGAAGATTCACGCAGTCTTTTAGGCGGCTGCCCTCCACCTGCCACGTTCTTTTTGATCGACTCAGAAACACAGAATAACCAAGTGGCCCTGGAAAGCCTCCCCGCGCGCCTGCTGCGGGGGGCGCAGCCCGGGAGCTTCGGGCGGGACAGGCTCCAGGAGACCCTTTGCCAGCGGCCGCTCCGGGGACGGACTGGACTTGGGGCTTGCAGGGGGCTAGCTGGGGACTGCGGAGCGGAAACCTGGTCATTCTCCAGAGCCTAGTCCCTAAACTGAAGAGCGGGCTGTGGGGCCTGGAGGCCCAGGACCCGCGCAGTGACCCGGCCGGCCGACCCCGCGACGGAGGAGCAGACTGCAAACCCCGCAGCTTGCCCCGCGCGGAGTTCCCGGGCAGCTGCTGCAGCGCCGGGCGTGGCCTCATAGTTAGTAGGTATTTTGAAGGGGGCAAAAAAAATACCTCTTTCAAATGCCATCTGTTTAAAAAAATTTAATTAATGAGGAATATTCTGGATGTCTGGGCAAATTATGGACTTTATTATTTTGAAGGTGGTCATTTTAACTTTAAACAAACCACACCGGGACATGACTAACCCTGAATGCTCTTCCCTAAATCTGGCGCCTCGGGTACACCCTTCGCCCAGGCTGGAGCTCTCACCCGCTCGCCTAAGCCCTGCTGCCAGAGATGTGCTCCATGCTTATCTTCCGCCCCATGCGTGCAATCTGGCAGCAGATTGCAGAAGGGTATAAATAATAATTAACCAGAGAATTACAGTTCAGAAACGTGGTTAAAACAGGTCCTTAAAACTAGAAGATCGGAGAGAGGAGGCTTTTTGAAGACATTTCGGCCTTTTGAAAACATTTTTAAAAATGTTTTCAAGTCACGCATGGTTGACTTGAGAGTCAGCATGGTAATCGGCTGGAGAATGAGATATTGGCCATCTGAGCAAGTGGTTAATGGGTTCAATCGGTTGAGACACTCCTGCTAGTGGCCAACCAGTAGCCCAGGGCCTGGATGAATTTGCATGATGTCCCGGAATTTTATTGTAGTTCTTTCATTTGGCAGAATGAGACACTGTCTGCCTTAACCCTGGAGATCTTGGTGGGACCCAGCCCATCCGAGGGGCCAAGCAGAGCTGACCTCCCAACAGCGGGGAGAGCAGATTTTCTGCTGCCTTATCTGCAGTGAAAAATCAAACGTGCTAATATTAAATGTCCCCCATCTGCCCTGAACCTGAGTTTGGTTTAGCCTGTGATTAAGGCTCTTGTAGGTTTACTTTTCTAGTTCATTATCCAGCTCCCTCTCAAGTCAGGTCTCCCCAACTTGGCAGGTGCTTGTGAGGACCGCACAAAGTGACTTAACAGAACTTTTGGTGAAACTGGCCTTTCTGTTCTGTGGGTTGATGGGCTTGGCTGTCACCGAGAAACTTCAACGTGCTAAAGTGGAGGAAGCACCCGTCCCATCCATGTGGGCTCTGATTTAAACTTTAAATGGTGGAAAATCAAATATATACATACTCTCATAAGAGAATGTATTTTTTGCTTTGGCTAAAATTTGGTATTTTCATGAATTTTAATGACTTCGGTGAACCAAATATTGTGATTTTTATTTTTATATAGAAATGTTCCTTAGACTTTACAGTGCCAGGAACAACTCCCCCATCTTGACTCTTCTCCCCATTGTTGGATGTATACGCTGACACTGTACTGATGTCACCACATTAAAAAAAAATTGTGTGTGGTTTAATAATGTTGGTAGCTAGCAGTTCCTGAAACTTTTCCCTATGTATCAGAAACTGTTTCAAGTTGTACAGGATTAGCAAATTTAATCCTCATTATAATCCTACAAAGTAGGTAGTTTTACAGATGAGGAACCACAGGCAGAGAAGAGGTTTACCAACTTGCCTCACGGTCTCACTTTCTAGTGGCAAAGCTAAAATACCAACCCAGGCAGTTCTGATGGAGAGGTTGCTCTGTGCATGCTCCTTCCCTTAAGTGGGCAGAATATGAGGTTGGTCACAGACCATGAGTTCCAAACTGGTCTTCCTTTAAAAGAGTTTGAATTTTCTGATGTACAGATAGCTTGGAAACTGGAGTGAGGACAATTACACCACCACAGCAGAGGCAGTTTTATTTCTCTGTTGTACGGGACACTTAAGAGGCAAAGGAGTCAAAGTATTTCTCAGGTAAAAAGGCTGAGAACACATCGGGAGTGTCCCTGCTGAGAACAGATTTGCTCTTTCATTGCCCTTTTGAAGGTTGGGAAGGGTGTTGGGGTGGGGGGCGTAAAGGGGTGGAGGGAGAACACAGGTTATGTGAGATGTTCCAGAACTTATTAGGATTCATGAATGTATTCATTTAAAACAACTACAGTCCCCCCAAATTAAAATTGAGAATTTGTGCTTAGTAACCAAAAAATAATCATAACTAACTCTTGAGCAGTTTTCTTTAGAATTCGATCTGAAGACCAAGTAACTTTGGAAATTTCTCAAAAGCTTCAAAGTAGGATATAATGAGCTTCCCTCCATTTTTAATTTAACAAATGCAGAGACCACAAACTTCTTCCCTATTTTCCTACTCTATTTCTAAAAAAAAAAAAAAAAAAATGTGGTGGCAAAGATAGCTTCTGTCTTTACTGCAGGAAGTTTAAGATAAGATCTGATTGGGGCTAATCCTTTTTGAAGTAATTGCACTTTCTTAGTCCCGGAGTTTAAACCAAGTATGTAGCTTGCTTCTGGCTGCTAGGTGAAGATCAGAAATCTACATTTATATGCAACAATTTGAAATACAAACCATCATGTTACAAAGCTGTCAAGATTTATTAGCAAGACAGTGTAGCATGTGTTGAGCTCTGTTTTTAATTAGGCACCTAAATTAGACCATAAAATGGTTGATTAATCTTTTACAAGTTGAGGAGAAAATATAACATAAATTAACCTAATCATAAGTGTTTTCCCAGATGCTCTGAGTTAATAAAATAGCCAATATTTAATAGTAATCTACTTGTTTTAGATAAATAAAATTTGAAATATATGAGTTAAATTGAACTTATTATCTTCCAAATGATATGATATTGTTGAATAGGTTTCTAAACTTCAGATTACAGCCCAT